ATTAAAGTCTAATGATCTATTAAATTAAATAATGATCTATTAAAAATTAAATAATTAAAAAGTCAACATTAGATCAACAATTAAAAGCTAACCACAAGAAAGTGAGCACACTTGCAATATTTAAATTCACGTGCTGAAGAAAAGAAAATTAAAAATGGCCGCCGCTACTAAAGCCTTAAGCCCCACTGCCGAGATTGAGGAAAATACGAGCAAGCTATTAAAAGTACTGACCCCACCTGGATTACAAGGTGAGTGCGTAATCTCACTACTTTCAAACTCTGGAAGCGGTTTTTCCTCCGCTTTTGGCATGGGCCCCATTAAGTCGGATGACAGTGAAAGCCTCACGGCACTTGAGACGCTTTTAAAACCTTAAAAATTGACAATTGGGAACAATTACGCCCCTCGATCAGATAAGTTAAAGACCGAAACAAATGTTAATTGTAAAAATCCCTATACCATAGCCAATAAAGTTGTTCATAAACTACCCACCAATACATCTAGTCATTTATCCCACACACAAGTAGCGGCTTCAACTTCAGTGGCTTCAAAACCTTCTGTTAAAGACACTAACATACTGACAAAAACCAATATGGCAGCACAACTTAATTGCAAAAGCAATGAAAATAAATCAGATGACGCGTGTTCTGCCAGAAGAAGTTTGCTATCCACAATAATGCACATTTCACCTACGCCACCTGACCCCTTGGACACCACAGATGCCCAAGACAACCAAAATTTTGACATGGTGAAAAATTGGATCCACAATCTTACCTCTCCGACCAGCAAGGCATTCCGCCCGTTGCGGACTCCTGGAAAACGACGCTGCAGTGAAACAACGGATTCTGATGACGAACTGCTCCGCCTGCCAAACTTCCTGTCTGCTGCACCAGACTCCAAGCCAACAGTAACTCCTGGAAAAAAAGACGTGTTGAATTGGAAAACATGGACAACGGCCCTCTCTTCTTCCCATGGTCGCCAATTATGCCGTACAAATTTACTAGTACGGTAGCACAGCAAATATCCCTAGAGGCTCAGCAAAACAAACTTGCTGGCCAGCGTCAAGGGCCTCCTAATCCTGTTGGAATCCCTTCTGGCCATCCCAAACAGGTACAAGAAGCCAAGCCAAATCAGTCTCCAAACAAGCTTGCTGGAGTTGCTTGCGCTGCTGGTGCTGCTCGCGCTGTTGGTACTTCTCTCGCCGTTGGTGCTTCTCGCGCAGATCCTGCTGGCATTGCTGGCGCTGCTCGTTCGACTCAAGCTGTTCGTTCTGTTGATACTGCTGGCACTGCTGTTTCTACTGGCCTTAAAGGAAACCTCTCCAAACAGGATCAACCAACTCGAGAGCTGCTCCCAGACCAACATCCATGGCAACAGGTCCCGGTCAGTCGAAGGATCCCGTCAATTCATCTACCTCAGATCAAGGATATACAGATCCTGTTGGAAATCATCAAGAACTCTGCTGGAGAAGAAAAATACTCGACCAAGAGTACACCAGGAAATGGAGTGCGAATTAACTGTATTGATATGGAAACCTATAACGCAATTAAAAAGAAATTAATAGACAACAACACTCTTATGTATACCCATCAAAAAAAATCAGAACGAGGGTTTAGGGTCGTTATTCGGCACCTACACCACTCAACGCCTTATCAGTGGGTAGCAGCCGAATTGGAAAAGCAAGGGTTCACTGTTAGATACGTTAGGGTCATGCGTCACCGATTCAATGGTAATCCCATGAACATTTTTGAAATTGAGGTACAGGTAAACTCCGATGGCAAGCACTTGGGAATTCTCAAGATAAAAAAGCTTGGCAGTCAGTCAGTAGATGTAGAGAGAATGAACAAGCCACGCGAACCAGTTATGTGCCACCGCTGCCAAGCATATGGGCATACAAAAAGTTACTGCCAGCTACCTTATAAATGCATGAAGTGTGCCGAGAAACATTCAACTACAGCTTGCTTAAAACCTAGGAATGTTGCTCCAAAATGCGCAAATTGTGGTGGTAAACATGTTAGCTGTTACAAGGGGTGTGAGGCATTTAAAGCGGCGCGTAGTAGGCTTAGAAACAACCAAGCTAATAGGGGGGAAAAACCAACAGCTCTTAACGTTGAGCAGCCCAAAAAAAATATTAAACATCTCTGGTTGCCCACATCAGCAAATGATGCCGAATTATCCTACAGCCAAGTTGTTCGTGGATGGAACCCGGCCGAGGCTCACATAAAAAGGCTTCAAAATAGGATTTATGATGAACAACAATTGAACTCCACCCCTCAACAGCGGAATCCGTTTAAATCTAGCCCTTCTATTGGCACGGCGAAGACCAATAAACAGGCGCGTACCAGGAAGACTGGAAAGATCCCTGGTACTAAATGACAGATATAAATTAAAGAAACTCTGGAAAATCACAAATACTCTCAAGAAACAGCCTCAGCCAAATTTTCCCATAAAAATTAATCTAAACACGGAAGCAAGTAAAAATAACTCGCAGATAAATTGGACCAAAACCATTTCGGAAAAAGCAGAAGAGTTTGTCAAACACCTTGAGAATAGATTTAGCCCGAAGCTATTAAATACTAATCCAAGCTGATTTTGAAACCCGCCTTAACGAAAGTTCTGAAGCTGCTCTAAGACCTGTCACTTTTCTAGAGCTAAAGCTTGAAATAGAATCGCTGGATTTAAACAAGGCACCGGGAAGAGACAAAATTGACAACAAGTTAATCAAACAACTTCCAAAAAAAGCGTTGCTTTATTTGGTTCTCATCTATAACTCTATCTTAAGACTTGGACACTATCCTGCGCAATGGAAACATGCTACTATTTCGTTAATTCTGAAGCCCGGAAAAGACAGTTCAGAGGTATCTTCGTATAGACCGATAAGTCTTCTTTCTGGGCTCTCAAAAATATTCGAGAAAATGCTGTTGAAACGCCTATTCGAATTTCCTTTGTTTTCGAAAGCTATTCCATGTCATCAATTCGGTTTCCGTCGAGAACACGCCACTGAGCAGCAGCTGGCGCGCGTCACGCAATTCATATTAAATGCTTATGAAAATCACGAATCATGCTCAGCTGTCTTCATTGATATTACTGAAGCCTTCGATAAAGTCTGGCATGCTGGCCTTCTGAATAAACTTGTCAAAATAGTACCCTTGAAAATGTTTAGAATATTGGAAAATTACCTTAGTAACAGAACCTTTGAAGTCAACTCTACAGATGGTTCTAAATCTCGCGTAGGAAAAATAAACGCTGGAGTGCCTCAGGGCAGCAATCTTGGTCCTGTGCTTTACTCAATTTATTCATCAGATATGCCAACTCCGGAGACCATACAAAAACCATCATCTTCTAGTTTTCCTGTTCCTAGAGTTCAAGACATGATGCTGGCGACTTACGCTGATGATACCATTATCCTGAGCAAAAGTGACAACCCAATTACGAAGATTACCTAAAACACTTCTCTGACTGGGCAGAAAAATGGGCCATTACAGTTAACAGAGCTAAAACTGGTCATGTCATGTTTACCTTAAAAAACCTAAAACGAATTAAGGAACAATTTCGTTTTAAAGGCCCTATAACCCCGAAAATAAATGGGCAAGCCATTCCTACGAGTACTAAGCAAACCTATCTTGGTGTTATATTGGATAGCAAACTTAACTTGACTTCGCATGTTAATCTTCTGCGCAACAAAATCAGAACCACAGCTAAGAAACTTGATTGGATAATGGGCAAAAATAGCAGTCTGCAAAACGACTGTAAGATGGTTTTACTCAAACAACTTATCACGCCAATATGGCAGTATTCCATTGCGGTATGGGGATCTCTCGTCTCAGAGTCGCAAATCAATCGTATCCAGACAGCTCAAAATAAGGTTATCAGGAACTCACTTAAGGCAACCAGATATACAAGAAATGACACGATAAGGAATTCCTACAACATAAAAACTGTGGATGATATCTACGAACAGGCGAGTGAAAGATTTGCAAGGTCACTTTCAATACACCAGAATCCAGCGGTACGGCGTATACTGGAGGAGCCGTACATCCCACAAAGACTTTTGTTTAAAAGGCAAAGATATTTGAAACAACTAAACCGCCATTTTTCTCCACTTCGAGACGGCCTACAACCTTTGTGGGAACCGCCACTGCCTATAATTCCGGAGAGTTCCAGCTTCAATGATTTTGCAACGAGTGAACAAAAAAATATTCATTATTTTTTGAGGCAATATATCCGCCATGAACTTCCAACTTTATTAAGACTAGAGGACGAGGAACGGGAAAAAAAAGAAATTGCTGAAAGGGAGCGGTTGGCAGCAGCTGAGAAGATGAAACCCACACCTGTACCCAGTAGACTTTGTGAGGGAACTATTAATCACCTGAAGAGGGCTCATGCACATGGAACTCGTACCCGTAATTTTATTGCTCAAAGGATCAGAGGTCAACACATAACAATACAAAGACTCATAATTCCTGACTTTGAGGGAGACGAGGAACATCAAAAACTGCTCGAAGCTGCTGAAAGGGATCATCCACCGTCACTTACAGGTATCCTAAAGGTACACACAGTCGCTCAATTGACCTCCAATAAACCAGGGGTCAAAAAAGGAGAGGGGTCCCGAATACATACCCAGGACACGCTCCCTGCCACCTCAACTGAGTCTGTTTGCCAGGAGAACCAGCTGACTGCTAATATTGAGCAACTACGTCAAAGACTACACCTACTTGTTGACAATGAACCGACAGACGAACGCGGAATCCAGACTCAGAGTGTAGTAGAAGGCAGAGAAATAAGGGGTGCTCACCATAGTACGATAAATCCCCGCAAATCACTCATGTCCTTCCTGCTATACTTTCAATATTCACAGAGAATGGAACCTGTGCCAGAGCCACCAGCTTCAATTCAACGGGCAATCTGTGACCTGTGTGGAAGGCAGCACATTGTGTCTCGTCGCCGAGCAGGAGTCCTCCAGGTCACTGCAACATGCATAAGCTGTTCTGGGCGATCGTCAGTGCGCTGAATGGCACGGATGTTTTCCTGCTGTTATTGACCTGTGATGTACGGAGGACAAATTGTAATTTTTATTTTTGTAAATACAAATTTAATAATTTAATAATGACACTGGATACAAACGGGCGAACCGCATGCGAGAGGCGAGGCGCTTCGTTGGCTGTTGCATGGGGCTGCTGTTTGGAGTCGATTGCTGGATGGCTGCACGCGGCTGCTGCTCCTGAGCTTGGCTGCAGCTTGAGGGAAAGAAGAAATGGAAACGCAGGGCCTGCAACTAGCGGCCCGCTCCGGGTGGCCTCACCAGCCCGATCCTGCTGCGGCTTGTATGCCTCTTCACGTGACTGCAGCCGACCTGCCTGCCGCTCCGGTCCTGCAGCTCCTCCAACGCAAGGCGGCGCTGAACCGCCGGATCATGTTCTGCCACTGACTGATGCTAGAATGCTGGCCTTTGCACAGGGCGGCGCTGAACTGGGTCGCATACGAAGGGCGAGGCGCTTCGATGGCTGCTGCTTGGGGCTGCTGATTGGCGTCGGCTGCTGTTCCTAAATTTGGCTGCTACTTGAAGGACGCAGTGCCTGCAGTTTGCGGCCTGCTCCGGGTGCTGGTCTCCGGGTGGCTTCACAGCCTGCTTCTGCTGCAGTTTGTTTGCAGCGTGGTGTGACTGCCGCTTTGCGGCCAATGCCTGATGCTGCTACCGGTTCCATTGGCCACTGCAATTCTATGGTTGTCGGCTCCCATGCTTCCGTCGGCTGCTTGATTGTCTTCATTACACAGTCAATAACACATGCTAGACGAATAAAAAAGATAAATTAATATTATTCTTCTTTTCTATGCAATTATATTAATTTCTACTGCCTGCGCCGGCTGCTTCTGGTGCGGCCTCGGGCGACCGCCACTTGGCAGCTGATTCGGCCTCTGGTGTCCGGGGCCACACGTCTGCTGCGATGACGGACCTGTTCCAATTAGATGCTTCGTCGTTGGAGGTGGACTGCTTCTCCGCATACTGTGCGGCAGCTCTGCTGTCATTATTCCTGAGAGGACAGCTGCTCCTGGTCCTGGCGGCTAATTCCTGTGGACTGGCGGCGGGAACTCCAGCGCCGACCGCCCTGTTGGCGGACTCTCGGCGCCCAGCACTTGAGTTGCTGCTCCAGCCAGGGATCACAGCGTCCACTGGGTCAATACGGTGGCTGCCCTGTTCCTGTTGCCGCTTGAAGATGACTGGTCCTGGCGGCTGGCTCCTGTGGATTGGCGGCGAGAGGCCTTCAGCGCCAATGCTCGAGTGGCTGCTCCAGCCTGAGATGACTGCGTCCGGTGAGATGGCTGCCCTCCTCCTGGTGCCTGATTGAAGATGCCTGTTTCGAGATGGTGCCTGGTTCGGTCGCATCCGTTGAAGCTGTTGCCGTGGTTGCTGAAAAAAAAGGGGGAAAGAAAGGGAATGATATTATATTGTTATTGTTTTGTATTCTTAACTTTACTTAACATTTGTTTAGGTAAGCGCCAAGCTGTGTCTTGGTGCTGCCAATTTGTTTTTTGTTAACATGCTTTCCTATTACTCTGTTAAATAACGCCATGTTATATTTAAGGAAGTTGCCGTATGGTAATAAGTTGAATAAAAATGTTGACGCTCTGTTAGCTTTGCAGTGCCGTCTAATGATCTATTAAA